TCATAACACAAAAACTCTTTATAATGGAAAAAAGGTTCTTTAGATTATTAAAATGTTCTTCACACTAAGGAAAAAACAATATTCTTTTAAAAACTGATCACTGAAATGTTCCTTGGGGACCCAAAAATGGTTCTTCCATGTCATTGCTGTGAAATTGTTGATTTACCAAATTCCTTCATCCATGAGTCCAGCATTCTGACAAAGGTGGCCATGACATTGCCTCCATTGAGTGATGCGGCCACTGCCAGATAGGAGCCGTGCAAGTATGGGAAATAAGCGACAGGGCAGAGGGTGTCTGGAGAACTGGGAGGGCTGAAGTCTGCAGGCATGCCGAACGTCAGCTGGGCTGAAGTGCTCATGTTCAGCACTAGTGATTTAACATAATTCACAATTAGTTTGTGTGTATCTGCCTTGTGTAAACAGCAGATCAAAAGTGTGGGGTTTGCTTTTTTATGCTTTTGAAAGTCTCATGCTTACAGATTTTTTTTTTTCTTTCAAGTATAGATATTGCTTTCCTGTAGCTCAAACAGTAGAGCATTGGCGCTTGCAACGCCATGGTCATGAGTTCAATTCCCAGGGAAAGCAAGAACTGATAAGAATGTAAACGTGTACCTTGAAATGCAATGTTAGTCGCTTTGGATAAAAGCGTCTGCCAAATGCATAAATGTAAATGTATTTTATATACAAATAATTGATAACATTATAAATGTGTTTGGTCACACTTTATATTAGGTGTCCTTATCTACTATGTACTTACATCAAAAAATAAGTGCACTGTACAAAGTACAATGTACGTTGTAGCAAAACACTTTTGTTAGGCATACGTGTATGGTTAGGCACAGGTATGGTGGTTTTGGTAGGTTTAATTATAGATGTAATTACATGCAGGTATTTTTTAAATATAAGTACAATGTAAAAACATGTATGTGCACAATAAGTGCATTTTATCACATAAAAAACATCTTTACTGTCACTTTGGATGAATTTAATGCATTCTTGTGGAATAAAACCATTAATTTCTTTCCCAAAAATTCTTAATGACCCCATATTTTTGAATGTTAATGTATGAGTAAAAATGCTACAGTCCACAACACTGATGTGGATGCAGTATGAAGTAGAATTTGTTTTTGTTTTTAAAAAGAGAAAATGCCTCAGATGATCATATTGCTGAAAGCATTTGTGTTGCTAATATCATGTACAGCATATTCAGCATAATTTCCTACTGCCAAATAAAAGTAATCCTTTCTATCATGTGCTGACAGATATTTTAACCAAAACATATTTATGGTCGAACAGACAAAATGTAAACAAATCATGTTTAAATATTTATCATATGCAGTCCTCTTTTTGAGCTGCTGTGCAAAAATATCTAATTTACAAGAACCCATAAAACACGAAATAACTCTCACGCCCTTGAGAGAGGACGCTGAAATCTGCCTTGTTTGCATGTGCTCAATGCAGTCACATAACATCTCCACCTGGAGGCTGAACTAGTAAACACATAAACTGACCTCAGATTGAGCATGTACTGTATGTAGCTGATAAAACTACAATCGTCTGTAGGTCAATCGTCTGTATTTTAGAAAACATAAAATGCAATATACACAACTAAAAAAGAGGAATCTAATCCACACTGCACCTGCATCTCCTTTGTCAGTCATGCAGGAGTACACACTACACTGGAAGTCTCCCAGCGCCGCCCCGACCGGTGTGTGAGCAGGGATGCCGTACCACTCAGAGGAAGTGTAACCAGCCACAGCTCCTGACTCCACCACGACAGGCAAGAGGTGCACAGGGAAACCCGCATCCTTCAGACTGGAGGACAATATATAAACACAGTCAATTCAAGCTGTTGCAGAGACTTATCCAAACACAGGCATTCAATTCAACACAAAGTAACTGTAATATTAAACATCATAGATTAGTTAGTCAGTTTCACTTGAAACGGGATTGACAACAGAAGGGGCTTGTGCTTGTGCTCGAATAGAGTCCTGCCACTCACTATCACACCTCACACACAAAGTGTGGAAATGAATTGGGGCTCAGGAAAAAATGTCATAATAAATAATAATTAAATGCCCCAAAAATTCAACATATAGGGGAAAAAGTCCATGTATAAGTTAAAGTTTAACTTAAGTTGTTTTTACTGAATGAATTCTCCCGTCTTAGCAGAAGATGTTGCCCGCTCGTCATCATCCATCCATTCAATTTCCAATCCGCTGGTCTAATGTGGGTAGCGTAATATCAAACAGGAATAAATTCCTTTTTAATTGGTAATTAAATTGCTAAATTAAGATTCATACATGCTAGCTTCCATGAAAAAGTTCAAAATTAATCTTTTCCTTACTACTAGAGCTGCCAGTTTGCTAAGTTTCAAATGATTTTTAAACAGTAAGCACAAACTATGCAAAAGCGGCAGCGCACTCAGTGACCAAATTCACTCACTCATTTTCATTCACTTCTTTAAGTGGACTATATTTGTTGAGTACTAATGTAGGAAATAGTGTATGAGGGTTTAGGGGGTGATTTCGAACACAGCATGCTTTGTCCCTGAATGAATCAGACATTTTTTTAATGAATCATTTAAATGATTCAATAACTCGATCGTTAAGACAATGATTTGACGACACCTACTGAAAAAAGGAGTCCACCATGCTGCAAGAAAGACTGTCTGTACTTGCCCAGATGTCATTTGAACATGATGTTTGTTATGAGATAAACTTGACAGAGCTATTGCAGCACATTTTTATCAGAAAGCCAAGTTAAATGTCACAATAGAAATAAGTGTAAAATATTTCCTCTTGATTCATATTGTATAACCCTTTTATTACCCCTGTATTAAACCTCTTGTCTAGGCGCTGATCCCTATTCTCAAATATTTCTTCCTTTTCTCTCAATGCCTGCTCATTAAGCTGTCTATGGTGCAATCTGGAGAGTGACAATAATTGAAAGCTGTTTTTGTTTTTAGCCGTGATTGTAATAAAATGTCTCCTCGTCAAATAAATAGAATGCCTAGATAGTGGTATATAGATAGATTGCATTTTAAAATGTAATATTAAGAGTGAAATATGAGAATGTTATTAAAAACAGTCTTGTCTGTTTTTCTCACTGGGGAGGCTGTTTCTTTAATACGGGTCTCTGAATTGGAAAGGCCACCTCCAAATTTAAAATCAGACTTAACTCACATTAAATCTGACATTTTTCGACAGAAGTGGGCATTAATAAAAAAATTGCTGAAAATAAATAGACTTGATATATGTTAATTTATGAATAATGCAGATAGTGTACTGGTATGCAGTGTATTCTTTATAGTGCCGTCAAGGGCTTGTGTATTTTTAAAAAAAAGTTTTTAATGATTATTTTTCTTTTATTTATTTATTTTTTCTTTTATATTTTTTCTTTTTCTTTTCTTTTTTTTTCTCTTTATAAGAAAAGTTCAATAAAAACATAGTTCAAAAAAAAAAAAAAAAAAGACTTAACTCACATTTGTGTGTTCCATTGGTTGGTGGTTGTGTTGAAGTAACCCCAGCTGGCAGCATTTTGTCCAGTCATGACACACTTGTCAAGACCTCCCAGCATGGAAACCACGTAGTCTTGGATGGTGCCTGCATCACTGAAGTCTGACAGGAACTCTGGCCTGAATCAATGATGTATATCATTAAAAACAAATCAGTGCAGAACAATTGTATTTTTTGCTGAAATAATTTATTCTGAAATCTTGAGTGTGATTCTACCTGTGTTTCATATACCAGAAAATGGTGGCACAACCATAGCCAGTGGCCACACTCAGGTGGGAGTCTGGTTTAGGTAAGGAAGACAAGAAGTCAGCGCTGCAGCGCCCATCCTGCCAGGTGATCAGCTGACTGATGTCTTCTTTGGGAATAAATCTAATGATTTCATCTTTACTTAGCCATTCACAGCCTAATGGAGATGGATGACAGTAAAAGTATTGATACATGAGTGTCTTCACCAATGCCAGAAGCATTAAACATGCTTTTAATAGTTGTTCAATTATGTGTTCAATGTTTAACCTGATTTAGATTTCCACAACACAATGCCATGCATTTGTCCACATACTCCAATGCACTTGACTTTTTTCAGCTTGTCTTTGGGTAAAGCATCCATGCATTGGTCCAGAGCGGCAATTATTAGTGCAGGATCCTGCTCTTTGTACTATTACAACAACAATAACAACATAAAACACTCTCAGTATAACATAAGTACTACACATACATGGTAACTTACAAAGTACCATGTGTTTTCCCATAATACTTCTTAAGGTTAATTTATTTGTATAGTCTAATCGTATATTTTGACAGCCATCGCTTCGATCTGTTACCTACATGTGTTCCTGGGGTGCAGCTGATATCAGAGTTTGTAGGGAAACTCCTACTGTCTGTCACTCTGTTGGACTGCGCCTCCAGCAGCACGACCTTAACTGATGTGGTGCCCAGATCCATGCCGAGGACAAACTCAGCAGAACCACTCTGTGACGTCGCCATGACCTCTAAAGAAATCACTAACTTACTTTAGTGCAGTCAGAGGAAAATGTGCAGCAATTCTGCTCTGAATTTTACTACGTTGTTGTCGATGACCCGATCTAGCGCTGTCCGAATTATGAACGAATCGTACGTGTTTCGAATCTTTTCGGTTGAACTGGTTAAAGAAAAACTGTTGAATAATTGAATAATTTGTTCAATTTGCGAAAAGCTCTTATTGACCGAGAACGGTCTCTTCTAAATATGTCGTATTCATTAACAACATTAACACGTTTATGTATTTTTTCTTGAGTCTGAAATCGATCAGTTCGAAAGAACCGATTCTCGCAAAAGATTCTTACATCCCATCACCATTTTTGAACCTTCGCGGATTCCGTAGAGTGGGTGAAAGGTAAGGTAAATGAAATACACATATATTTAAACCGTAATGTTGTTCCGAGTTCATAGTCTAATAATACACAAACTTGTATTACTAGGCATATTATTGCTCGAAATGAAGTACAAGTTGGGTATTACGATTAAATAAAATAAAACTCGATTTTTATCAAAAGTCCCATGGTGCTTAGCGAGAAAATGGCTGACCGAGAATGACACACGCTGTGTTTTATCCAGAATTTACCAAACCATTTTTGAATACAGTCCTATTTAAAATATAGGCTTAAACAAATATATTATGAGGTTCGTGTGTTTAATGTGAATTATGCTTTCTTGAACCACGGAGACTGGCGCTTCATTTGTGTTTATCAATATCTTGACCGTAACACAGTAAGTAAGTGGAGGAGGGGATTTCACGTGAATGTAAGATCTCTCTGTCGGCTTTATGTGGTCATCTGTCTCTCGCTTTTCCCTTCTCAGCGTGTTTTTAACATCACGACATGGCCACAGTAGCAGCCAAACGCGAGGGGCCGCAGTTCATCAGTGAGGTGGCCGTCAGAGGAAACAACGCGGTGCTCGACTACTGCCGCACGTCCGTGTCTGCTCTGTCCGGTGCGACAGCGGGTATCCTCGGGCTGACAGGACTCTACGGCTTCGTCTTTTATTTCCTTGCCTCTTTCCTGCTCTCTTTGCTCCTGATTCTCAAAGCCGGTCGCCGTTGGAACAAGTGCTTCAAATCTCGACGTCTGCTTTTTACAGGAGGCTTGGTGGGCGGCCTCTTTACTTACGTGTTGTTCTGGACATTCCTCTACGGAATGGTGCATGTGTACTAAAGGGACTCGGACAGTACAGCAGCCGTCTAGATGTAGAACAGTGACATTATAGAGATGCTGTCTCAGGGTAGAGAGTGCTGATTGATGTAGGCAGCACAAATCTTAACCGGGACCTTACGTTTAGCCATTCAAATTTAAAACATTTTTTTTCTCAGTACTAATTGCACTGAACTTTAGATATTTAAATATAAAAAGTGTGTTGTCTTTCTTTCCTCTTATAATTTAATATTTTCCTAACACTTGTTCCAGGGCTGGGTGGGGTTTGGATCTAGTGTTGTCCAACAGGGAGACTGATTTGTTTTCCGCTTGCTTTCTATATATGATGTGCAACACTTTGTGAACTCCAGGCATCAATCAAGATAATGTAAAACACAATACCAACTTTAAACTGTATAAATCACTTAATTTTATTTCAAATGTTTTGAGAAAATTAAATAACTAAGCTAATGGATTAAACTGTGTGGTTACTTAAGTGCGTCATACAAATTAACCAGCGTTTAACATGATTTATTATGTGTTCTTTATCATTGAAATAATTGATCTAAGATTGTATAGCCTGTGTGTGGATAGTGTGCCAATCATGACTAACAGTGTACAAGTTTTTTGTTCTGGATTACTCATGTCATGGGTATTTATTTTTTTCAAATTATAAAACTTAATTTACAGTAGTATATAATTTTTGATAGAAAAAAAGCATGTTTGTTTATTGAGACTGAATAGGTGCAATCATATTTCTGGCTGTCCTCAGTGCCTAAACTATTAAAATACTTTTTGCGCCGGTCACAGTAGTGTAAGTTACAAGTTTTCTTAATAATCCATTTGTAGACAATTGCAAGCATCCATATATTCACAGTACCATGCAAAAGTTAGGGATTGATAAGATTATTTTGTGTTTTTTTTTTTTTTTTTTTTTAAGTCTCTCATGCTCACCAAGCATACATTTATTTGATTTATTTGAGTACAAACAAATATATATTGTAAAATTTTACAATTTTAAATAACTTCTATTTCAATATATTTAAAAATGTATTTCAGTGATGGAAAAGTTGAATTTTCAGTGTCACATGATCCTTCAGAAATCATTCTAAGATATACTGCTCAAGAAAAAATTCTTATTATCAATGTTGAAAACAGTTGTGGTTAATATTTTGTGAAAACAGTGATGCGTTTTTTTTTTCAGGGTTCCTTCAAAAAGTATTTAAAATAGAATCTTTTGTAACATTATACACATATTTCCTGTCACTTTTGATCAGTTTAATGAATCCTTGCTGAATACAAATATTAATTTAGTTACAAAAAGAACAGGCTTTTTTTTTTTAAAAACACATTTTTGAGATCTTATACTGTTTTCACATTTATTCAAAATGAAAGTAACCCAGTGACCTAAGCATTGTCCTTCAAATGTTTTACTATTTATTCAACCTTGGTTTGACAGTTTTTAGTGTCAGGTCTTATTTACAATAAATAATATTGTAACAAAAAAACATCCATTGGCATTTAAAACACTACACTCTAAAAAAGATGCTTCTTAACATGTAGTAAAAGTTATATTTAAAACCGTATCATCATGAAGAACACCTTGCTGAAATGGTTCTTTGTGTTCGAGTTTAGGGTTCTTTATTTCCCACCTTTTTGTTTTTCAAATCTGTAACTGTCAAAGCCACTTCATTACTGGTTTTCTGGAGCTCAGCCATTCAATAGGGGTTATGTGCAACTTAACGTCTGTTCTGTACAACAGATCGCATCACTTCCGGTTCAGGTCTTTTATATGTGCTATGTGAAAAATTAGCTGTTTTACTCAATATAACTTAAAAGGAGCACAACCAATATCCCTTGCATATGCAGATTGATATCAAAAAGTTTTTTTTTTTTAATTCTTCACACTAACATTTAGATATTTAAATGCATATAACAAAATGAACTAGATTGGTGATTACCTTAAAAGTCCATAGATATGGCTGTTAACACTTTTTCTGACAAGCGGATGTGATAAGACCAGCGTTCCGGTTTGGTCATGTGATGTTCGACATCAGCACACTCTCAATAGGTAAAGGGCTTCTTTCTTAAAATGTATATTAATTTTAACTTAAAGGGTCACTTCACCCATTTGCATTAAGCTTTGTATCTTTAGAAACCCAGTTATATTTTTGAATGGTCATGGTTTATTCCCTTATTTTCCCCTGAGATGGGAGAAATAAGGATTTAAGTGTTTTATTTCCTGCTTATCGTGACGTGAAAATCGTCATTTTGCGTCACGATAAGCAGGAAGTCACATTTCATTGAAATGTCAACAGACTACAATGATTAGCTCATTATTATTCAAGGGTGTGGCACCCACTCACCCACAGGCCTATTACAGATCAGTGGGTGGGACTTCACTTGCAGAACCTGAAATCAATATCCACCATCTTGTTTGGAATCTAAGCTAACAAGTCCTGTGGAGATATGAAGTTATGATAATGGAAGAAACTAAACATGATATGGAAGAAGAGGGTTTTTGAAAGTCTGCTGCTTGAATCCGATGTTCGTGGCTATCTTTACGAGCTGCGGTATAGTTTAGAGCAGCTGAGGCTGATGGAGGAGCAGGAGACGCCCGGACTGGGTCGAGCTCGGCGGCCTGCTGTTGCCTGTACTCTCGCTGCGTGTCACGGCCTACGGACAGAGTCCGTCTGCTGCAGAGAATTTCAACGATGGCAATTTCTCCTGGAGGAAATCTCTGAATCAGACGAGCACACGGACGTTTGTGTTGTGATAGTTTCGCCTTCAGAACATCCAGGTATCATGCAGTAATTCACCATACAGAAATGAATACAAACGCGGAGTAATTCACTAACGTTAATGTGTTTACAAATGTAACGTGAATGGGGTTTAATGTTGTGGGAAGAAAGAGGCATGAACCGGCGAACATTTAAACATTTTAATAGTAAAATGAACAAATACAAAACGAAAGTAAGCCAGCGTTACACACAACAAAAACAAAACATAAAATCAGGCCTGTTTCTCTCTCGATCTGCCGTCGTCGCTCCCCATTTTATGCATTCGCTCCTTCTATTCGTGAGAGACGCACCGGCGCGCGCCTCACAGGTGTCTTTCATTATCACTCACGCCACCGGCCTCGCGCAGCGCGCCGTCCTCTTACATCCCTCGCACTCGATCGTCCTGTTCGCCACAGCCAACTAACTAGACATTTTGTTTGAAATGAATTTCAAACTCTTACTCTGGTAACAGCTAATGTTAGCGTTGTAGACGGAAGAGTGTGTTTGCGTCTCTGTTTGCGCTGTTCCGGTGGGTGGGTTAGTGGGTGTGTCTTGCGGAGCTGTGCAATGTTGGGGAATTCTGGGAACTGTAGTTTTTTAACACAAAGGCGCCCCTTGGTTATTTTCTGTCTTTTCTCAGTCAAGAGGGCACCAAATTAAAAAATGATTTTACATTTCGACTACATATATGATCCACTTTCAATAAAGATTAATGTTGCAATGGGTGAAATGCTCCTTTAAAGGGTTAGTTCACCCAAAAATGAAAATTCTGTCAGTATTTACTCACCCTCATGTTGTTCCAACCCCGTAAGACCTTCGTTCATCTTCGGAACACAAATTAAGATATTTAAGATATTAAGATCGCTCCTGCATACAGTCCATAGGCTTCTTTAGGGACTGGCTCTTGCTGTCCCCGAAAAGTCATTAAAGACATCGTTAAAATAGTCCAAGTGACTACAGGGGCTCAATCTTAAGTTTATCAAACGACGAGAACACTTTTGTGCACAAAAAAACAACAAAAATAACGACTTTTTTTTTTTTTTAACTATTCACGTCCTTCTCCATGAGCCTGTAAGTCAGTTAACGTAGTGTGATTGCGTAGAGCTACGTCAAACGTATTGGCCGACGCTGGTCATGTGTGTGTGATGCGTGTGACGTACAATAACAGAAGCTTACGCTATTAAACTAGTAACCTGACTCGCGCAGAGGGAGAAATAAACGAATAGTTGAAATAAAGTCATTATTTTTGTTGTTTTTTTGCGCACAAAAGTGTTCTCGTCGTTTGATAAACTTAAGATTGAGCCCCTGTAGTCACTTGGACTATTTTAACGATGTCTTTAATGACTTTTCGGGGACAGCAAGAGCCAGTCCCTAAAGAAGCCTATGGACTGTATGCAGGAGCGATCTTAATATCTTAAATATCTTAATTTGTGTTCCGAAGATGAACGAAGGTCTTACGGGGTTGGAACAACATGAGGGTGAGTAAATACTGACAGAATTTTCATTTTTGGGTGAACTAACCCTTTAATTTGTAACTGTTTTCCTACCAATCTTGTCTTTTTCTCTTTTTAGTTTAACAGAACATATAATTGTGAGGTCCAGCTCTGTTCTGTCTGTAGAACCCAAATTTGCTGCTGTTTAGAACCAATTTAAGAGTGTAGGAGAGCATAAATAACACTGGCACTATTCATCTTTGGTATGACTGAGCACAGACCCGTTATAACGACTCCCTTCATACATCCACGGTAAATCCAATAGGATTCAGCGTCAGACAGATCCTCTAGTGGTCGCGTGGTGTTCTCAAAGTTGAAACAGGAGAAATGGTCTGTTTTTCTGTCCTGAATGACACTGTAGCCTGTGGCTTTCTCTCCAGACTGTGTGTTTTGAGTGCTGAGCTCGTGGGCTGGATCTGTTTCTCTGGGTTGTTATTGGGCTGAGATGACACTGATGTCAATGGCTGCATCTCTATTTCCTGTTTTTCCTCCCTTTTGTGTCGCCCATCTTGTCTACGATGACCGTGGTGTCTTACGTGCTTTCTCTCTCTGTGCTTTCCAGATTGTTTTCTAAAGGTGCAAATAGTATGAATGGAAACCATATGTAAATAATAACAGATACACTGCAGTTCAACTGTTTAAAATCCACATGAAATCACAAGTATACAAGTATACTTACTTTGTGATTGCCTCGAATTTTGTCTCTCTGTAGAAAGAGCTTTTGCTCATCATGTAGAGCAGAATCATGTCACAGACAAAAACCCCCTGTGGAATGATATGAGCACCGATCACACAAGAGTCTGAGAAACATCTAATATATACATATATATCAACCATTAGTGACGCTGTCGGGACTCGAGAACTAGCTTATATACTCACAGCACCCATTAAAGCAAGCCCAGAGCCAATCTTGATCACTGTAGGAATGATACTGAATTTTCCAGCCTAGAAAACAAATAAGCTGGCAAAGTAAATCCCATAATTTTACTATTTCACCATGACCTCAACAACAGGACTCTGTAATCATTTTGATTATCTCTTACCTTTCCATTGACTAATATATCAAAGCGAATGCCATACACTTTAAATAGATTCCGATAGGTTTGACCTTCTGCATCACTGTAGTATCGAGCAAATCTTGAAAATGACAGAAACATGTCAGCCAGTGTAATGATACAGTGTTCACCATGAAAAGGCTTTGAAAGAAAGGTTAAGGTGGAGAACATTGTGATTATAGAAAACTAGCCACTCAGAAATGCTCTCTGTCAATGAATCATTTTGTATGGTCAAGTTTGCTGACATGTTTTAGTTGGTGGAGTTTTGGTGAAAGGCTGTGTGGTTCGCAAAATCAATAAATCAGAGCTATACCTAAAGTTGTAACCAGAGGTGACTGAATGCTGTGACTTGTCAGAGGAATCCAAGCGTGTGAAGCTATATTCAGGGTTACACTGAGATTCATCTTTATCCAAATCACAATTCCACTCGATTCCTACTGCAATTGAACCACCCTGTGTGTGTACATGAAAGAAAAGATAACAATAAAAACATTATCATCTTATTAAAATTACATTTAGTGCCAAATATGGTGCATGATGATATTCTTTTGCAGGAGTAGTTGCAGAACTGTTCCAGTCACATTTACATTACATTGGTAACACTTTACAATAAGGTTCATTAGTTAACATGTACAATATGTGAACAATACTTCTTCAGCTTTTATTAATCTTAGTTAATATTAATTACAACATTTACTAATACGTTAAATAAAATCAAAGGTTGTATTAGTTAATATTAGTTAATGGACTGTGAACTAACATGAACGCACAATTAATAAATTGCACGATTAATAAACACTGTAACTAATGCATTGCTCATCGTTAGTTCATGTTAGTTAATGCATTTACTAATGTTAACTAATGAACCTTATTGTAAAGTGTTACCATTACATTTATTCATTTAGCTGACGCTTTTATCCAAAGCGACTTACAATTGTTATATATGTCAGAGGTCGCACGCCTCTGGAGCAACTAGGGGTTAAGTGTCTTGCTCAGGGACACATTGGTGTCTCACAGAGGATTCGAACCCGGGTCTCTCACACCAAAGGCATGTGTCTTATCCACTGTGCCATCACCACCCATTCAAAGTTTTTTTTTTTTTAATTTTTTTTTTTTTTAATTTATTTCTTTATTTTGCATTTAGAAAATAAATATGCCAGATGATACTTTTGCTGGAAAATGATGACAACTGTTAATAATTTCAACCCATTAAAACAAGAACTTCTAACACTATCACAGGTCACTGTTTTGCTTGTGATATTTTGTTATTTCAATTATATAGCAGACACACAAAGCCAGGATTAGGCCTTAGTTCAATTAGGACATTTAAGTAGGTTTTTATAAACGTGGCGGCACTGAACAATGGCACTGACATATTTTAGGATTTATCAGTGCAAGTTGCTTTCAGTTAAAACTGCTCAAACATGCATTTTAGTCTGAGACTAGGCTGAAGCCTTGTCTGTGAAACTGGAAGAAGATGTTCAAACATATTTAAGTGTGGCTTAAGTGTCCAAATACTTTTTGGGGTGCCTGGATCAACCTCTTGATAGTAGCTTATACAAAAATCCCCAAATTATACACTAAAAAAGAAGCTAGTCAGGTTAGGATATGATCTCTATCCACTGAGCTGCTGCTTGAACATCAACCATGTGTTTACAATGTTGAAGACTTGCTTGTTTTGACTTGTCATGTCGTTTGGAGCACTTGCCTTTGTTGCCAAATTCTGGAAATTGTATCCAGTCCAGTTAATCACATCTCCCACAAGAAAGATGGGACAATAGGGATGATGGTCCTTGTCATATCTGCATGTCTTGAGGTATGTGCTGTTGGTGGTAGGCAGGATGTTCGCTCTTGAAAAGGAAAAAGGGGTGAAACATGATTTATTATATATGATGACATTGTGAAGATCATGCAGCATCATGAGAACATATGTAAGGACAGATGAACAACTGTCAGCCTGTCACTGAAATGGGCTGAGCACAGGATTTCAAGGGAGTAAGTCTCAGTGTATGCACCACACGCTGTGTTGGTATAAATAGAGATGAGTAAGCGTCAAATATTCAGAGCAGCTTGTGCCGTGTCGTGCTGTGCCATCAGTATCCAAACATAACACTTTACTGTGTGCAAGCAGGTCTACTCTTTCGCACAGCTACAAACTTTTTATAAAGCATTTGGTTTTGCTGGTTTTCTCTGTTTTTTTGTAGTATGTGGCTTTGTAATGACTTTGTGATTGTGATTTCTGGTAAAAAAAAAAAAGAAAAACAGGCGGGATTGCAATATGGTAGAGCTCAGTTTGGATTAGTTCATGTGTTCAGGATTGTATGGGCTCTTTAAATAACTGCTTGCCAGATGACACTTTGCTTGAAATGACAACATAACCTCCTGTGCTTTTTTAAGGATGTTTTTGTTGCCCAACCTCAACTCTGATGCTGCTTTGCAATGGAAATAACATGCAAAATATTAATCTGTACAAAACCTAGTTGAAAAGCTTTAAAAAAGACTTATCATGAGCATAAAACTATGAATGCATTACAAGTTCCAATCACTTTGCTAATGCATTAGCAATTAGTGGCATTTCTGTCTGAGCATACTAACATAGTTTCTGAAAAGTGAGAAAATGTATAGAGGGTATGCGCGTGACGTCACTGTCGGCCGGAGTGCCTGCAGTTACTCACAGTGAGTGGCAAAAAGACTGAGCGGCTGTATTTGTGTTCAGCGTAAATGCCGCGAAAAACAAACACAACACATATAAAGTGGGAAAGAGCTTTGTGATTGACTGTACAACTAGATTTGACAAAAAATCGGAGTTATATTTTTACAGACTGCTATAGAAAGAGGAGCAAATGGATCGCTGCAATTCACAGAAACAAGTGGACTCCAGTCAGCGAAAGGTGGATTTGCAGTTATCATTTTGAGTCAATATGCTGAATTTAGGTGTAAAACCATTCCCATATATTTTGTATTGTTATATATATATAAACAAGTCATCAATTAAATATTTATCATTTCATTTTCTGCATTATTGGATGTTTTTTAATAAACACTGACCAAAAAAAAACTATAATGTTTTAGGGCTGGACGATATGACGATATATTTAGGCAATTTAACACTGATATAAGTGATCACCTGGATTTAGACCTACCTATATTGTATTTATATAAAGCGTTCACAGGAAAATTTGCTTTATGTTTAGGTCTATATTGCTTTTATTTCCCCGGTGTCGAAATCAGGCAAACATAAATGTCAGGCAACACACGATTCCTGGCTGCATGTCAATATCCATGGATCACTGGATCTTTAGTAAGTTGTAAGGAACACTATATTGAGTCCAATATTTCGTTTAAATTGATACAATTGTTCGTTTTATTTGCAGTTTTCTCTATTAAATCCAGTCACACAGCAGATCTTTTGCCACTCAGTCAGGCTGAGGGGGGTTGTTCCAGCGGGAAAGTGACGTCAATGCATTCCCTCTATTCTATTGGTTTAATAAAAAATAAACACTGACATGATAGCTCTAGGCTTCACTTACTTGGAGAAGGCAAATTTTGGAAACTTGATGAAGTTCTTTACAAAGATTGTGAAGTTTTCTGCCTTTGCCAGCATGGGCTCCCTGTTACAACATATGGCACATTACAGGTACAACACTAATATGTTTTTAGTTTATTTTTTAAATAGATTCATACAGGCATGAATAGGGAATCATATTCCAACTGGTAAAAAACACTGTTCTCTTACGTTGGTGTGCGGCCATGCTCAACAGGGCACCATCCTTGAATCTCACAGGTTCCTGTGTCGTTTAGACAGCGGCCTGTCTTCACTCCTGAATAAACAACAGTAAAATGTAGTCCCTTTAAAGGAACACCCCGACTTTTTGGGACTTTAGCCTATTCACCTTACCCCCCAGAGTTAGATAAGTCCATAGATACCTTTTTCATCTCCGTGCGTGCTATAAGTCTGTTTGACGCACCCACCGCTAGCCTAGCTTAGCAAAAAGACTGGATGTGAATGGTTGCAGCTTTCTTACTAATCCAAATGAGTGGCAAAATAACGCAAACGTTTTCCTATTTACATGTTGTGGTTTGTATAGTCACAGAGTGTACAAATATCAAGGCCATATGAGACATAGACATCTTTTAACCGTATAAATACTATATTTGCGAAGCACTGCTACTTGGGCAGAGTGATAACCATCACCTGAGACGCACCGTGACGAGGAGCAGAGAGTTCGCTCAGTGTTGGAGTAAAGAGTCAGCAATTACCAACGTTAGATAGAAAAGCAAAGTTTATCATGGGTGTTTGCTTTATTGTATGAGCTGTGACAATAAACAGGGGAGACCAGGTACCATGTTTCATTGATTTCCAACCAAAAACGCACCCAGATTTATAAATATCACATGAATAAATAATTATTATTACAGGAATCAATATATTTTAAATGCAATTTATTAGCTGAACCAAATGTATTCAACAGTATATAATATACAGTATTGCATAACTATAGAATAGAATAAGGGGAAAGTAATAGCACAAATTGTTTTTGCACAATGAACTCACAGCCTATCGTACCCTTTTGCACGCTCAAGTTCGTTATTTCCATGGTTATTTCAAATTTAGGCTATAGGCGCGCCGCGCGCAGGGTGCAAGTTCAACGCGGTGAACGCACTCGTTTTTTTTCCAAGCGCGTCCGCACCGCATCAAGATAAAAACATATTCATACCCTAATCATATAATAGTGTCACTTACATTAGCTCTGGCTAAAGGCACTGTTACAGTAGGTCATCTAAAAACATAACGGAACACTTACCTCAGCCACAGGTGATACTTGTCCTGTCTGTGCTATCGATGGGATGGCCGTATCTTTCAGCACATTATGGTCCGTGTGGCAAATTCCAATTTTTCAAAATAGTCGTCCATTGAAATGTACCGAGCAAACATAATGTCCCTTGATAATCTTAGGTGTGTTTGGATAAATATCCAGAGTAAGTTAGCCATTTCTTCATCCAGTCAGCGTTTTTAGTTGGAATTCTGTGAAACATGGTATTACCTCCCCTGTTTACTGTCGCAGCTATTTACAATAGAGCGAAAACCCATGACTGTAAACTACACTTTTACTATTTATAAATTACTGACTCTGTTACCCAAACACTGAGCGAACTCTCCGCTCAGTCTCCGGTGATGCGGTTATTACTCCGTCAAAGTAGCAGTGCTTTGCCTTCAGAGAATAGTTCCCAGGTTTTATACGGTTAAAAGATGTCTGTGTCTCATTTGACTTTGTTATTTGTCCATTATGTGACTATACAAATCACAACATGTAAATAGGAAAACGTTTGCGTTATTTTGCCACTCATTTGGATTAGTATGAAAGCGAGTAGGGGTTCAATCTTCAACTGGCTGACTGGCAGCTGCCAGTGGCTGAGTGGCTGAGTGCCTGACACTCTCGCTGAAAGGAAATAAAAGCTGCCAGTGGCTGAGTTGCATGGCAGTTGCTGACTGGCAGTTGCCAGTGGCTGAGTGTGTTGACTGACTGGCAGCTGCCAGCGGTGTTTGGGGTACTGTTCTCCCGATTAAACCAGTCAAATGGCCGTGATCCGACTGGCAGCTTGCAGACGCTTGCTGGACGCTCATCCAGCCAGCCGCTGCTGATCAGCGAATATAACGCGTTGCCTGACACTCTCGCTGAAAGGAAACAAAAAAAATTCTTATTATGAATATAATGTCATGCCTTTATTCTTGTGTATGATTGGTGTTTTGGGTACTGTTGTCCCGATTAAACCAGTCAAATGGCCGTGATCCGACTGGCAGCTTGCAGACGCTTGCTGGACGCTCATGCTGGACGCTATTTGACTGGCAGCTGCCAGTGCTGAGTGGCTGAGTGCCTGACACTCTCGCTGAAAGGAAATAAAAGCTGCCAGTTGCTGACTGTGGCAGCTGCCAGTGGCTGAGTGGCAGCTGCCAGTGGCTGACTGTGGCAGCTGCCAGTTGCTGAGTGGCAGCTGCCAGTTTCTGACTGTGGCAGCTGCCAGTGGCTGAGTGGCAGCTGCCAGTTTCTGACTGTGGCAGCTGCCAGTGGCTAAGTGGCAGCTGCCAGTGGCTGAGTGGCGGAGTGCCTGACACTCTCGCTGAAAGGAAATAAAAGCTGCCAGTTGCTGACTGTGGCAGCTGCCAGTTGCTGACTGTGGCAGCTGCCAGTGGCTGACTGTGGCAGCTGCCAGTTGCTGACTGTGGCAGCTGCCAGTGGCTGAGTGGCAGCTGCCAGTTGCTGACTGTGGCAGCTGCCAGTGGCTGAGTGGCAGCTGCCAGTGGCTGAGTGGCAGCTGCCAGTTGCTGACTGTGGCAGCTGCCAGTGGCTGAGTGGCAGCTGCCAGTTGCTGACTGTGGCAGCTGCCAGTGGCTGAGTGGCAGCTGCCAGTTGCTGACTGTGGCAGCTGCCAGTGGCTGAGTGGCAGCTGCCAGTGGCTGAGTGGCAGCTGCCAGTGGCTGAGTGGCAGATGCCAGTTGCTGACTGTGGCAGCTGCCAGTGGCTGAGTGGCAGCTGCCAGTTGCTGACTGTGGCAGCTGCCAGTGGTTGACTGTGGCAGCTGCCAGTGGCTGAGTGGCAGCTGCCAGTTGCTGACTGTGGCAGCTGCCAGTGGCTGAGTGGCAGCTGCCAGTGGATGACTGTGGCAGCTGCCAGTGGCTGAGTGGCAGCTGCCAGTTGCTGACTGTGGCAGCTGCCAGTTTCTGACTGTGGCAGCTGCCAGTGGCTGAGTGGCAGCTGCCAGTTGCTGACTGTGGCAGCTGCCAGTGGCTGAGTGGCAGCTGCCAGTGGCTGAGTGGCAGCTGCCAGTTGCTGACTGTGGCAGCTGCCAGTGGCTGAGTGGCAGCTGCCAGTTGCTGACTGTGGCAGCTGCCAGTGGCTGACTGTGGCAGCTGCCAGTGGCTGAGTGGCAGCTGCCAGTTGCTGACTGTGGCAGCTGCCAGTGGCTGAGTGGCAGCTGCCAGTTGCTGACTGTGGCAGCTGCCAGTGGCTGAGTGGCAGCTGCCAGTTGCTGACTGTGGCAGCTGCCAGTGGCTGAGTGGCAGCTGCCAGTTGCTGACTGTGGCAGCTGCCAGTGGCTGAGTGGCAGCTGCCAGTTGCTGACTGTGGCAGCTGCCAGTGGATGAGTGGCAGCTGCCAGTTGCTGACTGTGGCAGCTGCCAGTGGCTGAGTGGCAGCTGCCAGTGGCTGAGTGGCAGCTGCCAGTTGCTGACTGTGGCAGCTGCCAGTGGATGAGTGGCAGCTGCCACAGTCAGCCACTGGCAGCTGCCACAGTCAGCAACTGGCAGCTGCCACTCAGCCACTGGCAGCTGCCACAGTCAGCCACTGGCAGCTGCCACAGTCAGCAACTGGCAGCTGCCACTCAGCCACTGGCAGCTGCCACAGTCAGCAACTGGCAGCTGCCACTCAGCCACTGGCAGCTGCCACAGTCAGCAACTGGCAGCTGCCACTCAGCCACTGGCAGCTGCCACTCAGCCACTGGCAGCTGCCACAGTCAGCAACTGGCAGCTGCCACTCAGCCACTGGCAGCTGCCACAGTCAGCAACTGGCAGCTGCCACTCAGCCACTGGCAGCTACCACAGTCAGCAACTGGCAGCAGCCACTGGCAGCTGCCACTCAGCCACTGGCAGCTGCCACAGTCAGCAACTGGCAGCTGCCACTCAGCAACTGGCAGCTGCCACTCATCCACTGGCAGCTGGTCAACTAGCGGTGGGTGCGTCAAACAGACTTATAGCACGCACGGAGATGAAAAAGGTATGTATGGACTTATCTAACTCTGGGGGGTAAGGTGAATAGGCTAAAGTCCCAAAAAGTTGGAGTGTTCCTTTAAAGCTCGGAATTTGAAACATAATAGTGGGTCATAGAATAAAACAATGTAACATCCTTTTATCTGAACAAGAATCTTCAACTTTCACAAAGTTTATGTAAAATCAGACGTACAGTCATAAGGAAACCTTACCATGGCCTGCTATAACAGTTTCCCCTTCCACACAATCACTGTTATTAGTACAAAAACCATCTGGCACTTTTGGACTCTGAAATAAGTAGAATGAAGTGAACACATACGACATACTCTGTGGTTAAAAATGTACAGAGATCAAAAACTCAGCTTCGATATGAATACAGCTCTCTAATTAAAACTAATAAAACTAAAATAAAACAACAACCTGTCTCTTACCTCAGGGCAGATACCCAGTCTTTGGTTTGGTGTCACTACGTAATTTGTCACAATAAAGAAGACCCGGTCCCCCTGTTAAAAATAATTGATGATATATTCTTACATAAAACATTTTCAACAGCAAATTAATGGAACGTGATACTCTCGCTTCAACTCTTCAATACCGAACCAACAAGCTTCACAATTTAAGGCTTTAGTAAATCAATTCTATATCTGATAAAAGAACAAAACAATTATTGCATCTAATAAAAGCCCAGGGGAATGAGCTTCCTAGGCAAAAGCTTTAAATAAAAACTAGGCTCCCCAAAAGAAGCTTGTGGCATATTTGATCCAGCTCATCTTACACAGAATCTTTTGTCGTCAAAACTTCAATGACATTAATGAATATTATGAGGGCATAACATTTTTCTGCAAACACAGGCTTTGGTTTGATTAAATCTAAACTAAAATATAAATTAAAAATATTAAAGACTTTAAATAAATACCCCTCTATCTGTCTCTCATCTGTAAGATTCAACTGTTCTGCATGAATTTAAACACAATTATGACCACAAAAAAAAAAAAAAAACAGCTACTCATTTAAAGGACATGTAGATGAAAATAGATAAACACAATATATGTCATGTCTCTATCTAGGTATCTCTATCTCCATAATCTATTCTAACAGATAAAATGGAGATTGTTAATAGACTTTCTCAAAAAAACTGAGTACATATGGTTTACAAATAGAAACTATCAATTTCTTTTGACGCAAATATACAGGTGAAAAGTGTACATTTACTTGTGGAGGGATGACATAGTCCTCTGCACCCCATAGCTGCAGACCAAACTGAGAGCTGTTGGTGAAATCTACACCCTTGAGTTTGGTGGTCACAGAACTCTGGATGGCTTCCTCAGTCTCCTGATATCCTTTCTTCCAAATAAAAACCCACCTTTAAGAGGACACACCATTAAAAAAAACAACAACAGCTGTATAAGTACAATTTACATTATAACAAGTAATTTTAATGGTTATTTAGGGTTAGTGTGATACATAGAGTAATGCTATAAGTCACATGGACACCATGAAGGACATAACCATTAATTTAAGTTTTACAATAGTTATTTTTTGTAAAGGAAAAGAATAAAGCAGCAGAATAAGCGGGCTGGTGCTTTTTTGTGTAGCATTTGGCCAAAGCACATGTGATCCAGGTCAACTTAACAGCACCTTTTGCAGCAGTTCCATGGGTAAGAAGCCCAAAAACCACGTGAAAGAATTGGGAAGCAGAAGTGAAAAAAACTGTGGTTCTAATAAATCCATGGACTAAATGGTTATTACGAATCTATATCAAAACAGAAGTATTTTTCACTAAATGCAAAACGTGCAGAGACAGTGTGCAAACAAGTCTTAAAGGCTAACGTTACTTGATATAAATAACATCGTGGTGACGTGCAGAGGTGGTGCGTTAAATTTCGACTTATATTCGGTTTGATTAAATTGATATACAGTGACCAATGTGAGCATGAACAAACACGTAAAGAACTTTTAAAACATTTACTTTTGAAGATTAGATCTTTTAAAAATTGACCGAGCCCGCTTGCTCTCACCGCAACGTCTAACGTTAGATTTAGAGAAGCACAAGACACCTACCCGATCAGATATCCAATCACCGCTAGCTGAAAGAGTCTGAACAGAACTCCGATCTTTTTGTTTTTAGCAATGACAAATTTCTCCGTCTTGTAATCGAGTAGAGAGAAGAAAAAGTTACCCCAGCTCTGAGCCATGTTCCTGTGTCATTGACGGCCTCGAAGCAGCTGTCAACTGCTCTGCGCTGACGACGACTGCAGCGAGGACCTCTTGAGTTCTTCCCCCTAAAACATTTCGTCGAAACTTTTTGATTTCTGATTTCTCCTTTTGTTCCGGATATATTTATTTATTATGTCAACATGACTATCAATCAATCAAATAAAGGTTAACGAGGTTTTTGAAGACGAAACAAAAGAAACGTCTCAAAGGAACTTGTGCGTACTCAGCGGATATTTTAATGGTGGAAATTAATGATGAGGTTCAATTTGTTTATGTTAATGTTAATGTACCGGTATCATGTAATTCATACTTTTACAGCATATTAATCTAGGTTTATGTAAACTGAGTTAATTTAATTATACTATTACATTTCATTTTAAATTGCAAATTAACATTATGAATAATAAGGAAAATAAATGATGAATGCATAATAAATTGTAATGTTTACTCATTAAGTAATGTTATGGAATTTAAAATTATTGTAATGCGATGCTTTAACTCTTTTTCATTTATTATACATAAGAAGGTGCGTGTTCCAGACAGTAGCCTTTCCATGACCTTTCCAAGCGTTACTATAGGCCTAGACATATATGAAAAACAATTTGTAATAATATTTAACAATTTATATTGCACAAATGTCTCTAATAAGACACTAGCATTTTTCTGTACACTGATTAGGCTGTGAAATACATAGAAACGTTCACCAGAAATGCCCATGTTTTTAGTAATAATTGCTGACCAACAAAAAAACAAGCTATTAAAGAATGTACGTAACTCATAACGATTTGTTTAAAGTTAAGTTAGAATTTCAGCTGGGTTATTTTAACAGACACACCATCTTACCAGTTTTTTTTTAAATTATTATTTACAGCAGCAGCTGTTAGAACAGGACAACCACAGGTGTTGCTGAACTAGATTTTAACCTCTGGGCCCATATTCATAAAGATTGCAAGAATCCTTTTAGAAAACTATTAATTTAGCTTTAAAACGTTTACATAGGACTCTTAGCTCAAGAGAGTTCATGGTCTGAGAGCAACTCTGAGTAGGGAAAAGAAAAACTCTCATCTTAGTGAGGAGGCGGGGCTGACCCCGTTGCTATGTATGACCTTTTTACAGTCTATGAGTATGACACAATCTTTTGAACACTGTGATTGGGTGGTTGTCCAAGAAAGTATTTGATTGGCTCAGAATGATAAAAATTGTTTCACTATTTCCAATTACACTGATTACAGTCTATTTAAGTGGTGGTTTGAATGTAGCAAACGTGAAATCAAAAACAACGACGATGAGAAAGCCCGACTGAACAGAAGGACAGTGTTGACTGTTAGCCCAGTTAGTGGATGAACACAAGGCCACCCTTAAAGGAAAAATTCGGGCCGAGTGTCACAGCACGGAGCAAGAAGCAGACGTGGGAGCTTAAAGGGTTAGTTCACCCAAAAATGAAAATTAAGTCATTAATTACTCACCCCCATGCTGTACCAACCCCGTAAGACCTTCGTTCGTCTTCGGAACAAAAATAAAGATATTTTTGATTAAATTTGAGAGCTGTATAACTACCACATAGGCTCCTAAGGGACTGCCTCTTGACGGCCCAGAAAGTCAATGAAGAAAATGTTTAAATATCCCAAGTGACTACCGTGGCTCAACTATATGTTTATCAAGCGACGAGAATACTTTTTGTGCGAAAAAACAAACAAAAATAACGAGTTTATTCGACTATTCCTTTTCTTCCTTGTAGGCCAGAAACGAGACTTCCTTAGATTTCCACGACGCATGCGCGAGAATTGCGATCTCCTTACACTACTTCAGTTCAGTTCTCGCGCATGCGTCGTGGAAATCTAAGGAAGTCTCGTTTCTGGCCTACAAGGAAGAAAAGGTATAGTCGAATAAACTCGTTATTTTTGTTTGTTTTTTTTTGCACAAAAAGTATTTGCGTCGCTTGATAAACATATAGTTGAGCCACGGTAGTCACTTGGGATATTTAAACATTTTCTTTAAACCCAAATTATTAATGGTTCATTCCCCTGCCTGTGCGCACCAGGGAAGCCTGCTATATTCATAAATGCAGCTTTTTGAGCCTCCAAGGTGGGAATGTCAAGTCAAAACGAAATGAATTGTGACACAATAAGAGGTTCAGAAACTGCTGTAATGTTTGTGATCACTGTTTACAGAAGGTTGTGACAGACCCAAATCATCACTGCTGAATTGTTGCCAAATATCTTAATGTAGTGATTAATTTCTGGATAAAAATTTTGACCTTAAGACCTCTTTTAAGGGTTAAGATGCTTTCTGGTGTACTTTTTTTCTTTACTAGGATTTTTTATTTAATTTGAAGAGTAAACGCCCACATTTCTAATAATTTTCTTACAGTTTTGTCACTAGGAGCAACTCTTTGCATTAAGATTTTTTTTTATGAATACGGGCCCAGGTTCTCACCAACCAAATATGGATAATATAGCCAAGTTAGGCATCTGCCATTTATAGAACACTTTTTTTTCCAACCACCACCATTTAAAATACAAAGGAAACATTAAGAAACATCACCCCAACTTCGATCCATTATAGAAATGGTGGTGCTTGGCTGCAGGGCCAGTTTTCTGAGAGGATTCTTAATAAATACGGGCCCAGGAATTTATATATTGTAGGCCTACAAACTAAGACACTTTAATTCTTCCAAGTACAACTTGAAGTGTTGCTTTTGCATTATCTATTTCATTTTTATTGGTTTGTAAATAAGTCCCATTTCACTCAATTTAACTTTTACCAGATCTTGCATTACTAGTCATGCACAAACACAATTTTTCATTTCAATGCTTTTATTTAGTCATTTTGAAGATTTAAAAAAAGTGGAAAAACATTAATGCATGTAATGATTTGGTTGAAGTATAAAGAGAGAAGAAAAAAAATGAGTGCAAGGGGCTACTGAAATAAATGTCCATCCCCTAGACTGTCAGTTTAAATATCTGAACCTCCTCTGAGACGCAGCACCAGGTGCAAGGTAGACTCTTTCTGAATGTTGTAGTCGGACAGTGTGCGTCCATCTTCCAGCTGTTTGCCAGCAAAGATCAACCTCTGCTGGTCAGGGGGAATGCCTTCTTTGTCCTGGATCTTTGCCTTGACATTCTCAATGGTGTCGCTTGGCTCGACCTCTAGGGTGATGGTCTTGCCGGTCAAGGTCTTGACGAAGATCTGCATGCCTCCCCTGAGACGCAGCACCAGATGAAGGGTGGACTCTTTCTGAATGTTGTAGTCGGACAGTGTGCGTCCATCTTCCAGCTGTTTGCCAGCAAAGATCAACCTCTGCTGGTCAGGGGGAATGCCTTCTTTGTCCTGGATCTTTGCCTTGACATTCTCAATGGTGTCGCTTGGCTCGACCTCAAGGGTGATGGTCTTGCCGGTCAAGGTCTTGACGAAGATCTGCATGCCTCCCCTGAGACGCAGCACCAGATGAAGGGTGGACTCTTTCTGAATGTTGTAGTCGGACAGTGTGCGTCCATCTTCCAGCTGTTTGCCAGCAAAGATCAACCTCTGCTGGTCAGGGGGAATGCCTTCTTTGTCCTGGATCTTTGCCTTGACATTCTCAATGGTGTCGCTTGGCTCGACCTCTAGGGTGATGGTCTTGCCGGTCAAGGTCTTGACGAAGATCTGCATGCCTCCCCTGAGACGCAGCACCAGATGAAGGGTGGACTCTTTCTGAATGTTGTAGTCGGACAGTGTGCGTCCATCTTCCAGCTGTTTGCCAGCAAAGATCAACCTCTGCTGGTCAGGGGGAATGCCTTCTTTGTCCTGGATCTTTGCCTTGACATTCTCAATGGTGTCGCTTGGCTCGACCTCAAGGGTGATGGTCTTGCCGGTCAAGGTCTTGACGAAGATCTGCATGCCTCCCCTGAGACGCAGCACCAGATGAAGGGTGGACTCCTTCTGGATGTTGTAGTCAGACAGTGTGCGTCCATCTTCCAGCTGTTTGCCAGCAAAGATCAACCTCTGCTGGTCAGGGGGAATGCCTTCTTTGTCCTGGATCTTGGCCTTCACATTCTCAATGGTGTCACTTGGCTCAACCTCAAGGGTGATGGTCTTACCAGTGAGGGTCTTGACAAAGATCTGCATCTGTAAATAAATGAAGAAAAATTAGATTAGCAACCATGCATAAACCAATATCAAAATATTGGTACACATTCAATTTAGGGCTATACTCAACCAAAGAAAATCTTGGTCAACTGAAGCCCTAAAATTTGACTAAAAATGACATTAGGGAAAAAAAAACAGAAAAACTTTAAATTAATTAGCCTTGCTGTCTGCCTAAATGAATTATAAACAAACTAGTAGACTATTTGCAGTATATTCAGTAGTGTCACCCAATTATTTTGCAATAAAATGAGCGACACAAGTCGGTCGGCTCTGACAGTGTTGCATCACCTGCGCAATATAGTAGCCTATGATTTCCGAAAATACTGTTGTCAACTAGTGATCATCACAAGAACGGTTGAACAAATTCTTTTTATCATGTTATAATAAGTTATAAAGTTCTGTCAAACACGATCAGTTCAGACACCGGAGCTCAGCTTCGTGGTTGAGACACAAATAGACTATAAACTTAAAGCTTTAACTCTCAATAAACACAAAAGAAACACAGAAATTTGGTTTAACCAGAACATATCAACCAATTAGTCAACTAATTGATTGGGACAGTACAAACCCCAATTCAGTATGAATAAAAATAGCAGATATAATTAAATGCACTGGGTGGCGCTGTGGAGTACGTTTAACATATTTTTTTATATTTTATCTCAATGTTGTTATCTGCCAGGCGAAGTTTGAAATTCGATGAAAATGATCTTACTAAAGGAAACAATAGTTGTTATAACATAGCCTAAACCACTACAATAGGAAAGCACATGAAATCCAAAAACCAGTCAAATGAGGAAAGACAGTGGTCCATCACTGCATTCACGACATTTAAACAAAATTGTAACCTACATAGTAGGTGCAATTAGTACATTTATTTAATTGAACGTCAAAAGCTCGTATTGATCGTGTTCTATTCTGTAACTGCTGTTATAAAATCATACACTGTCAGGATAAAAAGCTGCATTTTATGGGTGCAGCAGCCAGTCACTGGCAGTTTCTTAGGAAAATGAAGGGGGAGGGAGACTTCTTTTCATCCACAGTACAGCTGCATTATGACAGTGTTGCATTACAATACACTATGGTGTATCAGAGTGTACTAATTACGTTTAATTAAAACGTAACGGCAAAATAGGAATGTTATCCTTAGTCAAATCAACTTTATTACAGCGGGTTGTCTCTTCCAAAAAAAAACTGAGGGGAAAAAAGCATTAGCATTAACATTACAATGATAACAATGAAACCATTTACTTGAATGGCACAATTAATACGAGGTACGTGCTAAATTGTCTCAATTGTTTTAAAGTAGTACTAGTTATATAGAGTATTTATCGATGCGAGTAAACAAACTTATAAGAGGGCAAAACTACAAGATCTTTTTGTTTTATTTAAAAACTGGAACGTACTGCGCAACACCCAAAGTCCTATTCACTAACATGGCGGCTGTACAGTACAGTAACATCCGGGTTCTTTGACAAAGAATCCTATGATTCAGCAAAAACACAGAAGACAAAACTAAAAAAAAATCGAAAACAAACTACACGAACTCAACAATTAAATAAAACTTCCACCCATTTCGGTAACGGACGACTTTAAAACGCATTACTTAGACGAACGCATTATGAATAATATAATACAGGTAAATAACGTTACGTTTAGTCATCCATAAATCGACAGTATCGATTAAACAACCAAGAACAACGTAACATTAAGTCTTTAAGAATGTTATAAAACCAACTAAATGTTGAGTCTTACCTTTTAGCAAGTTTACTGACTGTCAATCTGCTTCTGAAAAACGTCCTCTGTGTATGAAAACTGCCGTTGAAAGCGAATGATACGGTATTTATACAAACCCAGGAGTGTGACGTTTACGTTACGTCACATGACCAGATTTTTCCGCAGTCAAACAATTTATTTGTTAAAACTTTTAAATATGCTTTTCACTAAAGATTTAAGATTTAAAAAACACTTAGGTAGGAATGGTAAGTTTTGTTTCCGTATTTTAAGTATAATAATACAGTATCAGAAAAAGGAAGTGTCCAGAATATGCCAGAATGGACTAGTCTGGTGATACACCCGAGGCATTGATTGGTTGGTTGGGTTGTTTGTTCTCTTTACTATTTGTGAATCAGACTATTGGAATCTGGAAATCTGGACTAGACAAAGAAAGAGCAATATATATATATATATATATATATATATATATATATATATATATATACACACACACACACACACACATATATATATATATATATATATATATATATATATATATATATATATTAAACATATAAATATAATAGGCCTACAGAAATGGCAGGCTGCATGTTATCCCTAAAAAAGAGTGTTTGCTCCAATGCATGGTTTCTTTACAAAATTGCTGTTCCATATTTGTGTTTTAGCTGAGGCTGTTGTGAGACTTGTGTCAACCAGTGCACTTAATATAGAACACAACTTGTGATAGCATTGCTTTGAAACATGTTGGCCTCAGACTCTCCACAGTATCTGTTGCAGCAATGTAGGTCATTTTCTCTGAGTGAGCAGACATACAGTAACTCAGCTGTTCACCACTGCGACAAAGCATTTGTTAAAGTTTTTCCTTGTTGGTTTTTGTATAACCTCTGTTATTAAAGAAAGATGTAATGCTTAAATTGTAATAATTGTCAGGGCTTAATTCTGTATAGGCTCCACTAAACTATTGCCCGGTTACATGGACAAGGCAAGCCTAGTCCTAGACTAAAATGTTTTTGAGCTGTTTTAATCTTAAAATAGATCAGTGCTCCATTGTTTTGTTTCATTATGTTTTTGTCCTAATTGAACTAAGGCCTAATCCTAGTTTAATCTATGCCCTGTCTGTGAAACCAGGCCTATGTGGTGGACAAGAAACTTTCTGTTTATTCCCATGTGACTTTGTGTTGCCATGCATGAACAATGCTTCAAACAAGATGAACTAGCTCCAAGCTTGCTCTAAGGTTTTCTGGTTATCTCCTGGTAAGATGCTATAGTTTCTTTCATCAGCACTTACAGTCATGAGGGCATATTAAAATAAATACCACAAAATATTTACCCAATTTAGGTAAACATTAATCAGATAGCTCTTCAAAAAGAGATGGTATTGTGAAACTTCTCTTTGAGCCTTGTTTATCTGGATGGTCATCCTTATTCGATTAGTATCGTAGTGGAATCAGGTCCCTGTTAATTCTTCCTTGAGCTTGAACAGCTGCTAAAAGATTATCTAGGTCACCCAGCTGGGCCAGTTTTCTTGAAACTGAGTGGTGGTGAAGGTGTTGCAATTAAACTTATTTCACTCCTGATCATACTGAAATTAACAATAAGTACATGATAAAAATCACCATCTGACGGTTTTAGAGAGCAAGGCCAAGATACTAATCCTTAATACAGCGTAATCATCAGTTTGTTTTTAGGCTTATGGGCTTGTCTGCCGTTGGATCTCTATGTTTACCCCGCGAGACTTGGCATTTGAAAGTGCTCTAATAATATCACAGGCTGGTCAGCATTTTATGTTCATGTTTTAAAATAAAGATTTTTTTAGCCCACTGCTCCCCTAAAGTAAAAAATGCCATTTATAGTGATTTTGCTTTTTGTTTTTAACAGCAAAGATAGGCTATATTTTCTATTCAATAACTTACAAGGAAATTGTTTCTAATACAAATACAGGAAATACATAACATAAATGTTCTTAAATTCTCTAGAAATTTCCTGGTTATTATCACCTGACCCAGATTCACATCACACAAGCTGCCACATCACCAGACTGAACTCAAAAGAATTTCTGTTCAGAGACTTCAAGATCACGTGTACCTTCAACTTTCAGAAGAGTGTGTTTGTGCATATCACTTGAAATATTTAACATCTAACTAACTTAATCTGTCATCAACATCAGACATGATAAATACAGGATGTTAAAAAATAATAATTATATTTATATAGTAAACTTGCCTGTTTAAAAGTTTTACCTTGTCATGATAAACAGTCAGTTTAAAGTTTTATGTAACACATCGTCTGTTTCAAAATACAAATTGTTTAGGCTCATTTGGAATTTATAAGTCTTACTTTCTATTTTATTTAACAACACACATGTAACATAGCCTAGGATATCTGTATTAGGCTATAGACTACATTATTTATACAAACTACAATTCAATCTATTTCGAAGAAAACAACTTTTCTTCTGCTCTGATATTATCGTGGACTTTGTCTGGGCTTGTTTTGCAACAGCTGAACGGGTGGAACCAGATGACGCCGAGGACAAATGAGCTGGCTGAAGCATGTGACCCAGCCAGTCAACAGTGTGTGTTTTGCAAACAGGGCGATGGTTATCTTATCAACCAATTATAGAATGTTCTACAGGAGAGCCGCATGCAAAACCGGTTAGGTTATAGACGACAAACAACTCCACTGTTACCATAGCCTATACAAAATTAAAGGTGCTAAACAAATGGCGTGCGTAACTAAAGACGAAAGGTAGGCTATGTAACCTTCGCTTTCACTGCGTAATGGAGACATTCACAGTGACGTGGACAAAACTGTGATCGAAAAAATGAACATTGGGCTCATATAAAATACACGTGTTTAACTTCTGCCCAAAAAAAAAAAAAAAACCCAAACGCGAATGAAGTCTGTTAAAAACATCCATTGTTAAATACATGTTAAGTACATGAGCCAATGAGGCAAATATTGTCGTCTCCTGAGTCCTGATGTAAATCATCTGTTGTTTGCAGGGAGCGTGAGGGTCTTGTGAAACACACTGGAGGTTGTCACTGCGGCGCGGTGCGTTTTGAGGTGTGGAGCGCTCCAGATTTACACGTGTTCAGTTGCAAGTAAGAAACATCTTCAGCAATTAGCACAGTCATTGTGCTGATAGTACATCTAATTGTGGATTGGTTACGATGCATTTAGCTGTTGAATACCCTGCGAAGTGTCATCTGGGTCATTCCACGATAGGGATGTCTTTTATTGACAGGTCTTTGTCTACAAAGATTCTAGAATCTATTTCACATCGAAAAATAAAATAAAATACATGACATGACAGATGTTATGACGATGTCGTTATGAAATCATTCCGAGAGGATCAGAATCAGAAAAAGCTTTATTGCCAGTGGTTTGCACACACAAGGAATTTGTACACAGAGACAAAAACAACAACAGTATACAGACAGTAAACAGGGCTGAACCAACCTCGGTGGGAACTTGAAGTACTAAATAAATATTATGTCCACAGATAGGTTAAGGAAATGAAAAATACATAGGCCATGTATTGTGTAAATATGGGTTGGTTCATTGGTTGAATGTACGGTTTAATGACAAATGTATTGGTTTATACATGGGTATAACTGATGGTTTTGATCGCTGTTCTGTCTCAGTTGCAGTATTTGCACAAAGAAACAGAATCGTCACTTCATTGTACCAAAATCCCAGTTCACCTTGCTGCAGGTATGTTTTAAAGCACGTACACAGGATCCTTTTGAGCAGAATACATATAATGTTAAATTTGTTGTAATGTTATAATTAATTATGGTTTCATAGGGATCAGACAACATGACCACATACACTTTTAACACACACATGGCCAAGCACACATTCTGCAAAACGTGTGGCGTCCAGAGTTTCTACACTCCACGTTCCAACCCTGATGGATTTGGTGAGTTGAATACAAGGCGGACCATTATTGGGATGTTTCTTTTTTTTTTTTTACAGACAATTTTTACCGCATGTTATAGACAAACTGTAGTTTACCTTGCTTTGTTTTAAACTATGGAGCATTTTCTTTTTGATGTGAAGAAAATGTTTTCTCTTATTCGGATGTGTTTTCACACGTATTTTACCATGAATTTACAGGTGTGGCACCTCATTGTTTGGACACTGGAACAGTAAGAAGTGTGACTGTGGAGGATTTCAATGGGCAAAACTGGGAGGAAAGTATGCAGAAGCATCTTACTATTCGAAGTATGTCAAAACCAACAGCGGAGACATAATTGACGGTTTCATATGGCCTTTTGAATAGTTTCAGACTGCAGCTTCAGCCAGACGATTTTAGAGGCAGTTTACACAAGACTATTTTCAAATAAAAATGGAACAAAATGTATGCGTTTTGGCCATTTTCACTGAAGAGGCAAACTTTTGAAATGGGTTTCAAAGTGCAAGTTTTTGGAAACGATACATTTATCTTCAGTGGTGTCATGTGTATGGGTATTGTGTTCAGTCTATAGGAATTCGTTAGTATTTGACAACTCAAAAAACAAACTAACATCAACTGTTGGCCTGGCAAGGATAATGCAGCGTTTTGAGTCCTCATCGTTGTCGTCTGTTCATCAGTTAATCATGATATATTTTTGTTGTGTAAACTTAACCATAGATTGTACTCCCCTGCTTCTTAAAATTTTTTGGTAACGCTTTTTTTTACAGTACAGTACTTAGGTGTACTTACAGTGTACTTACCTAGAATGTACTGGCTAAAATAAGGTAAGGACATGGGTTAGGGGTAGGTTTAGGGCTAGGTTCAGGGTTACCTAGTTATTACCCAGTAATTGTACTTACTATAATAAGTACATGGTATGCACATGGGTAACAGGACTGAAGCATTGCCAAAAATTTTATCAGTGTAGTTGTTCAAAACAACAAAATCCACCTTAAAAGACACACATTTACAAAAATTCTTTTTTTAAGAAATGTATCAACAGGGAAATTTGTATGGTAAATGGAATGGAAATCATACTCATAAAATGGAAATCATACACTAATAGATATTTAGGACATCAAATGAGGATTGATGTTTGTATTGTCTTCCAACTTTGTATAGATAGAGGATGTAATGTCATGACTCATGTATAAGGAAAACCACTAAAACCATATATATTTTTTCCACACTTTATCAAATTTATTTTAAACAACTGTTGCATTACTCCACATTGTTATGTATATATTCATAACTAAAAGTCAAAACAGAGAACATCATACACTCCCTAGAATAACAGATTTGCTCTGAAAGAATTCAGAAATATAAGCCAGTTTTGAAACCATACTGAATCACAAAATTTGGTACAGAACTTGTTGATCCGTTTGGAGCAGTGCTTTAACTTAAGTCAGATAACAACAGTAAACGCAAAAGTAAACAAAATACAGATTCAAATTTAGTTTTCTCCATTCCCTGCACACACAAAGGCACAATCTGTTCTTTGGATTCAGCTACTCTATTAAAGTGCTTATCTAGGTTAAACCTCTCCAGAAAACTGGCTTTCAGAATAAAGGATGGTTTGGGGTACAGTGTGCATAGGCCCATTATATACCAGCATTTCTCCATCAGTGTCTGCAGGTTGAATATGTTCGCTGTGCCTTTTTTAATATGCTGTCACTATATAGTATTTTAATGACAGTATATTTGGAATGTTGTTATTTAAAGAAATAATGAAACGTGAAGTTAACCTTTACCTAAAAAATGCAGTGCATAACTTTAGTCCTACATTAACAGGAACAGTGTCAAAGACAATCTAATCTAATAAATTTTCACATTCTTTGTTTCCACAACGATGGCCTGGAACGTGTTTATGAACATGTAGCGTGAGAACAGTATGTAGAGCCGGCGGAACCACAGCAGCTGAGAGCGATGACAAAGCATGGCTTTCTGAGGAAAGAAGAGAAGAGAGAACAGATAGCAACAGAGCAATTACTTCAGTTTGTTGGGTGACTGTGTATTGATTTACTTTTTTATAGCCTTTATTATAAATCAGGTAGAGACCTGACCAAAGATCACAAACCGACACAGAAAGGCTTAACATGCTACTGAAAGGAGCCAGACTGGTAGAGGCAGTTCAGACAGAGAAGCTGCGTCATTCAGAGACCTCTCGGCAGGATTAGTTAATGCTTACAGTAAAGGTTCAAAGTACTAATGTGTTAATCAGCAACACAGCCCATGTTTTAAGAAGAAGCTTTTTCAGCTATGAATGTTCTGTAGTCTGGGAATACATCTGAAGACAGCTGTACTGTAGAAGCTGAGAAAAGCGAGACACTCATAACGTTTGATCAGGTCTAATCAGAGCTTAAGGTATTTGTTTAAACACTGACTAATGGCACACCTTGGCACGCTTATACTCCTTCGGTCCAATGAGACAGCAGAAATCAGAGGGGAGGAGCCAGCTGACCGGCAGCTCTAAGACTGATAGATACTTTCTGAGGATGCTGATGGAGTGAAGAGAGAAGATCTGACAACCTGTAGGAGCAGATATATTTAAAAAAAAAAGTTAAGCTTAGTACTGGGTTTCCACACCTTTTAGACTTTTTGAAGCTTTTACAGTCATTTACTATTATAGGATGAGGATTTCATCAATCATTTCATAGAGACTGTAGTTACAATAAGCTGTGTCAATGATGTTTGTCTACATGCTACTGATAAAACTGAATACATACACTCACCTAAAGGATTATTAGGAACACCATACTAATACTGTGTTTGACCCACTTTTGCCTGCTGAACTGCCTTAATTCTTCGTGGCATTGATTCAACAAGGTGCTGAAAGCATTCTTTAGAAATGTTGGTCCATATTGATAGGATAGCTCCCGTTACACCACATCCCAAAGCAGTGTTGTAGTACTCGAGACTCGGTCTCAAGACCATATTTTAATGGTCTTGGTCTCGTCATGGACTCGTGTCCATTTGGACTCGGAATTGACTCGTACTCGAACATTTTTTTTTTAGGACTCGGAATTATTCCCGAGTCCACTCGAGTTCAATTAAAAATATTTTTCATGATTATTAATGTATGTTAATAAAATATTTCTTTAAATTGATTGACACGCCCAGTGATTGGTGATTTTCTAGTGCGCAACTGCGCATGACAAATTGTAATAAAATTACTTTTAACACCACCTACTATGTGGCCATTTTACCCTAAACTGATCATATTTTTTTAAACTAAGTAAATTCAGTAAAAAAAAAAAAAAAGGATTTCTCTAAGTAAATAAAAGTAAATTAGGTAATCAACCCTCACTGGTCTCGGTCTCGACTCGGACTCGACCGTCTCTGGTCTCGGACTCGACTCTCTATGGACTCGGTCTTGACTCGGACTCGACTCTCTCTGGTCTCGGTGTCGACTCGGACTCGAGTGAGGTGGTCTCGACTACAACACTGTCCCAAAGATGCTCTATTGGGTTGAGATCTGGTGACTGTGGCAGCCATTTTAGTAAAGTGAACTCATTGTCATGTTCAAGAAACCAATTTGAAATGGTTCGAGCTTTGTGACATGGTGCATTATCCTGCTGGAAGTAGCCATCAGAGGATGGGTACATGGTGGCCATAAAGGGATGGACTTGGTCAGAAACAATGTCAGGTAGGCCATGGCATTTAAACGATGCCCGATTGGCACTAACAGGAATAAATTACATTTTAAAAATATCTTAAAATAGAACACAGCTATTTAAAATATATCTTACAATACTACAGTCTTACTGCATTTTGATCAAATAACCCTTTGAACATTAGATAATTAAAAAAAAACTTAAAATACCCTAAACTTTTGAATGGGAGTGTGTAAAGGGCATGAACAAGCTTCTTGATGGGGTCACAGATAAACCTCCCAAGGGTTATCACAAAGAAGATCTGGTTGATTAAAGAAACACTGGGGCCTAGAGCTTCACTGAGGATGTTACGTAAAATACGATTTATCCAGAAACAGATGGGAAACACCGGATTAACAGGACTAACCTGTCCTCAGTATGAGAAATTCAGCTGGAAATTTAAGTTAAATATAATAAAGTGTCAGTTTATATATATATAATCGGACACGTGTTTTTTATATATATAAAATCATATGGCCGTTGATATGTAACCCTTTGAAAATATTTGAATCACTAGCCTACTGGGGCCATAACACATCTTCATGTGACAGCATATCGATCCCTAGTGGTCTGAGTCGTGAACTGACCTTTTCATTTGCACCAACTTTGCACTAATCTATCAGATGTCTTTTATCTCGATTTATCTTTGCCTTTTGACACAATGTAGACACAGAAAAATTAAGATCTCAGTAATTTTCTCCGCTTGGGTGTACACTCTAAAAAATGCTGGGTTGTTTTAACCCAATTTTGGGTCAAATATGGACAAACCCTAAATGTTGGGTTAAAAATGTAATGTAAAAAATTAACCCAACGGCTGGGTTAGTCCATATTTGACCCAAAGTTGGGTTAAAATAACCCAGCATTTTTTAGAGTGTAAGAAAGGGTTGATCAAGCTCAAGGGTGCTGCTGGGAAACAGATTATGTAAATATACTGGCAATGTTTCCAGAGTGCACTTAATAAAGTGTACCAGTGGGTGGCGTACTTTGCCTAGAAAACATTAACTGCACTACCAACGAGGGCAAGATTCTACAAGATGATGAATAATATTTAAAATAATATTATGCTAAATATATTTTTTAACGTAATGTAATTAGACCTACCTTCAGGCAGTCGTCCAGCAGAAGCCAGATGACTGTTGCCAAAGACATAAAAGAGAAAAAATATTATTAATGTAACACCAAACTCAAACACACATATACTCCAGAAACATTCTTAATGAGCATTTTTGTTTCCTTAAAACATAAATTAACCTGATAAGCACACTTACTTAATTTTGAAACTTGAATAAATGTCTTTAAGCATTTTTTTTCCCCTTTGGGGTTCAGTAGTCAATTTGCAAATCACTTTCTACTACTACTACTTTTTAAAAAAATGTATATGATGCTCATTAGGAAAATCCTTTTTATTTAGTTTATCCAGGTAACAATTAAAAAAATGATATAACAATAGAAAGTGGATATAACTAAATAAAGAACAGCAGATTTACTGTAGTCCTTTTGACAATAAATATTATTCCAAAACTAAATGAAAATTATTTGCTATTCACCGTGTGCTTCCTAGCACCGGTGTCCCCAGACCTCAGTTTGACACTTCCTAGAAATTTGTTTTATGCACAGGATAAGTTAACCAGAATAACTGTATTTTCACATATTTTTGATTGTTCTTCCATTACAAATGCATTCTTTACTCAGCACACCTACATTGTTCCTCACATATTCTATAAGTGTATCTAGTTCAATAAACCAATATACTAATCTTGATGGTAACTCAAATTTATCTAGTGTGCACAACTACAGTACTTATGCGTTCTACTTATTACATATCGGGCGTTTCTGGTTAGAGTGTTCATCGCAGGTCCATACATGAGATTGAAGATTATCACTACGTTTTATGGACACCAATTGATAAAAACAATGAATTACGATCTCTGTATTAATTATCTTGAGCCTGCTGTTCTAACTGTTCCATTCTGAATAATAAATAGGCTAAATATATTTATCCACTATATAGACTAATAAAAAGTATTTATTGTGTGCATTGGTGCTCCTGTCTTTTTAAAATAGTTGAATGAATAAATGATCGCAAGGTGCCTCAGAGAGAAGTGTCAGAGAAGAAGAGAAGTGTTACCGAGTCAATAAATGTCTTCACACACCACTTTACTGCAAGGCCAGTTTTTTAGACAAGTGTAAATTTCTGGCTGGTCCTGGCTGGTTTATCTGGATGGGTAACATTGTTCACATGCAAAATCTAGATGGTAAGACTTGTTGACTAAAGACATCTTGCTGATATTAAGCTAGCTAAGATACAGGTCTGTTCAGCAGGGTATATGGGCAATATAAAATCTAATATAAGCAGTGTATATAAACTAATTTAATCAATTTTGCAAGAATGAAGCTCTTTCCCATTTCATCTGGACCCACTAGGAATAATTCAGTTAATGTTCAATAAGCAACATTAGGCTGTTTCCTTTTCCTAATTATAACATGAAACATCAAACAGCTGGCCTAACTTCAGAAAGTCTCTATTCTTGCCTAAGCTATTGTAACTGTTGCTTTTTTTTTGCAAATATACTTTGAGTAGCCGCCAACATCCTGTTGTGTGGATTGTGAAATCAGCACAAAGGTACCTGAGGGTCTTGTAGATGGCAATATGATTGGCATGTCCACTCACACCTCTGCCATCAAATGTCAGCACCTGCAGAAACACACCATAAATCAGAGAATGATAAATGCACACCACATTATTGTGATATTATACATATAATATAATGATATCAAAATTATAGCCATTATTACACAGTAGCCCTGTATTTTAAATAATACAAATATGAGAATTAAAATAAAAATTTACAATACACATGCAAACTTATATTTGTTATAGACTAAGGTATCGTGAACTAACAATAAACAATACTTTAACCTACAGCATTTAACCTTTCGTGTTTTGTTTAAAAGAAATGAATACTTTTATTCAGCAAGGACGCAATAAATTGATCAAAAGTGACAGTAAAGAGATTTATGATGTTACAAAAGTTTCCCATTTCAAATAAATGCTGTTCTTTTAAACTTTCTACTCAAAGAATTACTCAAAAATATTTAGCAGCACAACTGTTTTCAACATTGATAATAAGAAATGTTTCTTGAGCAGCAAAAATCAGCATATTAAAATGATTTCTGAAGAATCATGTGAAGGATCACTATATTTTTGTTCAAATAAATGCAGCCTTGGTGAGCAATAGGAGCCGTTTTAATATTTTACGATCAGTAACAACATTTTTGCAACCCCCAGCCCAGTTTGGTGGAACGATCAGGTGGAACTTTTCCGTTGCATCCCACAGAACAGAGTCTATTATGCAAGTACTTAAACTTGCTTTTTTCCATCTGCATTCTTTCTTCGTACTGAAGAACAGGGTGAAAAGGTGAAAACAAGATGGAAAAAAAAAAAGCAAAAGAAAAGAACTGGAAAATAAGATGAAACATAAGCCAAAGAAAAGCAGTAATTTGAAGACTCAGCAGTGGACTTGGTGGGAGTTGTTGCCAGAACTGTGTGGAAAGGCTTCTATCTGTGCATCGTCTGCTGTGTCACCAGACGAGGGATTCTGTCTTTGGTAATGGGTGCTTTCCAAGCAGCTGCTGCGCACAGCTCAAGCTCGAGCTCCAAGGGTGGAGGAAAATATGGTTGACAAAATAATAGATTGTGGCAGGTATGTAGAATGTTGCCAAACACAATGAGGCGAGTGAGTCCGCTTTCAGAAGAGACAGAGAGGACAGAATAAATATGTTTATCCATGCATGATTATAGTCCTACAGTGTACGACACATGGAAAATGTAATTTTTTAAGTATTAAATACCTGTCGCACATCATCTATGTCTTTCAAAACATGTGCACAACAGTAAGGCGGGAGAGGGTCGATTGCGGTCTCATTAATATGTGTCCATGCAGGATGAAGCCGTGCTACATCTGCATTATCTAGGTCTGTTAGTCAATCAGACTGGTGTGTTTTCAACTAAACTAATAAAAATAAAGAAAGAAATTGTTGCTTTAGTCCGACTGAAATTGAACTTCAACATACTGATATTTGCCTGCATGTATATGCACACTGTACACAAAGCATAAGAATCCTGGCACGCACAGCACTAATGCACATCTGATTAAACCAGATGAGTCTATTTGTGTAATAGTGCCCTACCCACAATCCTCTGCCCCTTGTGAGAGAGCGGTAAAGAGCACAAGATGGCCACCACTCTTTTCCCAAACGTTTGAAAGCCAAAATCAAATTGGAGTGTAATGTTATAGTTCAACATCAGTATTTCCATCCCCAAAGCCTCTTCGACTTAAATCAAACATGGAATTAAGGGTGCAGCGGAACCGTGTGATGATCCACTGGATTTAGCAGCCTGTATTAGTGAGTGTGTTTGCGGTTTAAAGTCAGACTGGACTGTTGCGGCAGTTGGCAGTCTGGTAGGAAGGATACCGGCTGCTCTTTGCATAAGTGTGTTCTTGTTAGGCGATGGAGATAAACCAAGCCATGTTGGAAGGACATTACTTTGTTTTCTGGCTTGTTTATGCAAGTCCTCCGTGCTTGGCTTTCTTTGGGAATGTCATGGCATGCGGGCTGAGAACGAGGGAGAGAGGGACAAAGAAAACATTAAACAGTACACGTGACAGAAAGAGAGAGGGAAAAATGTTTGTTCTAATCTTGATTTTACATTTTTTTGGGGATCTTTTCTGGAAGTCCTTAGAGCAGGCTGATAGCTATCTGTGTTGGCTTGCCAGCAGTGACCCAGGGGAACCACGTGTCTGCTTCAGTGGTATTCTAGGACATTACAGCATGTGTAATTAGGGCTAAATACAGGGGGCCAATGAAAAGCTCATCTGAGTGAATTAATCTAACTGATATGGTCCTAGACTCAAAGCAACCTCATGAGTCAGATCAGATAAGCACAGTAAAAAGCTGGAATCTCTGAAAATCTCTCTTTGATTCGAAGGCCTCCCATTGTCCAACACAAAAATAGATGAACTATTATTGAGACCTGACTGTCACATGACCATTTAAAGCCTCCATTCAGTCTAGGATCAGTATTTTATGATGAAGTGTGATATGGAGAGATCTATATACTACATACTGTATATGACCGATTCTGTCAGAGCCAGTTGAACGCTAATTTCCCATCTCTCTTTCGGATTACTGTATGTTTATATCATATATTTATCTTTTGATTTGTCCAAAAGTTCATCTGCAAACTTGTGTTCCCTTATCATCAGCCTCTTTTGTGTCTGTCCAAGTGCCGGTTCGTTCTAAATACATTATTAATAATGTCCAAAACAAACATTTTAGATATCCTTTGGGAACATTCTGCTAAAAAGCACACCCTTGTTTCCTTTTTTTTAGAGCACTCAACTCTTTCATAGATTTAAAAGGCCTATCCCTGGTCTCAACTTTACAACTGTACCACTGTCATGTCAAAATGCTCGGAGAGCTCTCCTCCCAACCTGCCGATGTGTTTCTAGAGGAATTTTTGTAGGTTTAGGTCATTCAAATAAACTCCAGTCTTCTGGATGAGGTGGACCTGGATGGATAGACGTTTCCTACCAGACTGATGCCATAGTTTTGGGTGTGTTTGAGGATCAGAGAGGAGACCAGTGCAGTGCTCCATTGGACCGCAGGGTCATCTGGAAGCTCTCTGCATAAACAAGAGGAGAGAGGGAGAAAAACATAAAAGTGTCAAATGGAGATTTCACACACTTTTAAAAATGAGACATATAGCATGTAGGCAACTAGATTTGTACAATTTTGTGTGTAAATATGGCTTGTGAGTGGTTGCATGTATGTTGCTGTTGTATGTTTGTTAAGCGGTTCAAAGTGAGTTGATATATGGTTGAAAGGAGTGGAATGATGGAACCCATTACTGCCACAAAATAAAAATAATTCTGCGATAAAGTAAGAAATAAAAAAAGTCAGAGATATGAAGTCAGAAACAGGCTTTCATAGGTCCTTCTATCAATTTGTTTTTATTGTCTGGGAGAAAACTTTATGTTAGAGTGATTAGATAAGTAATTAAACACCTCTCTCCAACATGCCACATCATTATAAGGGTATCATCCATCCTTATAATACAAAATACACACCAAAGTTTAAGTCTGAGCAATGGTAATAGTGACTCTTGACTTAGCGAGCACAACTAATGAGTGACATTATATACAATACTAAAGACACAAATGATGGAAGAGGTTTTTGAATACTGTCCTGTCCATGTTCTTTGTGTAAGTTTGATTTGGACTGAGCGAAAAGCCTTTACGTTCCAACAGACACACACACACACACAGCTGCAACAGAGAGTCACTCTATCTGATTTACTGCCATAGTCCCACTGCCGCTCAGCTTGAATGCATCCCACAGTCCTTCTCTGAAGTCTGGGATCAAAGGTCACCTGGGCTTTTCCCTCTCATTCATCTGTAACTACAGCTCAGGGAAAACAAGGGCCATGCATTAATCTCTCTCTTTCTTTTTGTTCTATTTCTCTCACACACACCCCACACACCCCCAGCTGCTGTGTAATGTATTGGGGTCAGAAGAAGCTCCGCCCTACTGCGGACAATCACTTAAGTGCATGTTGTTTTGTTGTCTTGCTCTATTACTCCTAGACACCTTTATCAAACATCAAATATTAGAACAGCAAAAAGAAAGATAAAGAGAACAGTTGAGTAAGCAAGAGTTTAGGGATCTGGATTGAGAGGCAGAAACTCCAAAGCATAGCGAGCTGCCTAACTAGACAGTATTTTAAGTCATCATAGGTGTGCTTGAGATGTGAATGCTGTTCTAAAGACAATTTTTTTGTGTGTGTGCAAAATTCTAAGGCAGCATTAGATTTGTCTTTTATGGAGACTGGAAATGGCAATCCAATAATGCAGTGCAAAGTCAAAGTCAGATAAAGAGAGAGAGAGAGAGAAACAGAGCCAGTTGAATTGAGGCTACCTCCCTCTTTTGACAATGGGGCATGACAGTTGCTTCTGTTCTTTTGTGATGGATCTGCACATAAATCAAATGCTGGTCAGGGTCACAAGGTCGGCTCTGAAGGATACCCTATCAGTGACGGGGTGGGCGCGAGGTGATATGCTAGAAAATGGAGTGACTTGGAAATTGGGCAGTAGCAGTTAGGATAAGACAAAAGTGAGCATTGACAGATCTAATGAGTAGGTACTCATGCGATTATGTAAGAGATGGGACTTGACTTGAAAAAGAGGTATGAATGCCAATACATCATTCTATCTGCTTATCAAAAAAATTAAAAGAATTGGTTTTATCCAAATATTATGAATTTGATGTCTTATGATTTATTCTTCAGCACAGGTGTAGCAAAAGTATAATTATTAGCTTGTAAGGCAGCTTGATATTAGCGTGATATTTAAACACTATTAATTATGATTTTTTGAAATATGTATATAAAAATATTAGAAAAACGTACTCCAGAAAATAATATTTCAGTTTTTCGATATCAAAAATTCCTGTTTAACCAATATGTTACTTGTGGTTTCTTTGAAATTGTTTGTCAAATTCGTCTCTACATCAATTTTTCAGTGCATTAAAACTCTTAATACAATTTTTGTTTTTTGTTCGAAATAAAGGATATTTCCATCTTTGATTTTGCTTTCTATTTTTTTCTTTTTACATTTAATGAAATCTAAACATTTAGTTAAAGCTTAGAACTTTGAATAAATTTTAGATTAGAAACCCCCACTGGCATTGACTGATCAAAAAAACCTTTTAGTGATGCAGTTACAAACCGATATGACTTTCTCATGTACAGCATAATGTTGAAGGTGAATTTGTGAAGAATATCTTGGCTGCTTTTTTACATATAATGAAAGCGCATGAGAACTAGGTATGTCAAGCTCCAAAATGACATTATAAAAGTATCATAAAGTGGTCTAAGCTTTAGAAGTCTTCAGAAGTCAATTGCTTAGAGTGATAAATAACCTGGTCTTGATAATTTTTTTCCTTTTAAATGGACTGCACAAGTCACTTGGACAACACAAATATCATAGTCAATGATACCAAACTGCTTTGGTTCTCACATGTCTGCTTTTAAACAAAGCTATAGCGTATATGACCTAAAAAGACAGAGAATATAGCACATAGGTCACTTTTACGATACTTTGTGGTGTTTTGGCAGTCTGGAGCTTGACAACCTCGCCCCCTTTCACTTTTTTAGTATGTAAAGCCAGGATACTCATCAAATTCTTCACATCATTCTGGAAATACTTCACATTCAACGTCCAAAGAACAAAAATTAATGTGGCTTCAGTATGGCATGAGGATGAGTAAATTATGACAGAATTGTGGGTGAACTGTTGCTTGAATTGTATGGAATGCCAAAGCTGACTTAATTAAAAATAAATAAATACATAAATAAATGTACAAAGAAATGTAAAAAAGCAATAATACATAAATAAATACCTAAATAAATATACAAAGAAATGTAAAAAAAAAAAATACACAAATAAATGAGTATTTATACTTCTATTTCCTTGTTTATGTATAATTGTATTTTTTCACACATTTATTTTTTTATTTATACATTTATTCCTTTACTTATTTCCGCTTTTGTTTATTTCCACATTTATTTATTTATACATTTCTTTCTCTGTATGTTAATGGAGGGGGCATGTTTTAACTCAGACAGCAGCAATCGAGCTCAGAGTGGCAGTGCTGAAGCTTTGAGGCCACAGTGACACTTTATGGTGTGTGACCAAATGAAATGCAAGAGCTGTGTGGACAATATCACATTTTAAGTCATGTATATCACCCAAACTATATGTAGAGTAGGCTATACATGTAGAGGCACACATGGCACACGTGAACAGAAACTGCACTTCAATGGGTCTGATAGCAGACACTTGGACATGAAAGCGGATGAAATCCACTATTAATAATGTAAAAGTGGTGAATAGGGCTGATGCTTGCATTTGGCTTGTGTTTATTGCCAATGAAACTCGCACACCAGCGCAGAATGCGGAGAGAAACCAGGGCACATTTCACTGACTCCTACGCAAGCATATTGAGCAATGAGTTTGAAACACGATTCAATACGCAGTTTACATTTGCGTTTCCTAATTTTGTATGCATAACAGGTGACAATTCAAATGCTTAAATCGCAACCCATATTTCATAGATGCTGCTCTGATACTGATCAAGTCATCAATTTAGAATTATTACATAAATGAATAAATGTATAAATAAAAAAATAAATGTGTGAAAAAATACAAGTACACATAAATAAGGAAATAAATGTATAAATACTCATTTATTTGTACTTTTTTACATTTCTTTGTATAATTATGTATTTTTGCTTTTTTACATTTCTTCGTATATATTTACTTAATTATGTATTTATTTCTTTTGAATTAAGTCAGCTTTGGCATTCCATATAATTGTAGCACATACACAAACATTCTTTCCAAAGTCAACAACAACTTGAGTGTTTAGGCTTTGAGGTTCAGGCTTTTACTACACTGCCCTTTTACACCTTTAATCTTCCAGAACCAAGAACAAGGAACAGAAAGAGAGAATGATAACGAAATATAGAAAAATACACATGATCTACCTGACCTTTTTCAGAATGGATCAATGCAGTGTTGCCTCGCTATAGCAACAGTGTCAAATGCCCCATAGTAACCTCTCTTCTCCCTCCCTTCCTTTTCTCTCTTGCTCGCTCACTCACTCACTCACTCACCCGCATGTGTAATTGGTTGCAGGCATCTGAATGCAGCAGATGAACTTTAGCCTACTGAGGAGGCGGTGTGTGTGTTTGTGTGTGTATGTGTGAGAGCAGAGAGGGAGGGGGTTGGGGAGACTGGCAGCGTTTGTTTTGTCTGGTCACATGGGGCCAGGGCCGCCTTTCCGTTACACGGCTCCGTTGCATGCTGGGAAAAGCTGACTGCTGAACGACAGTTAACCCTTTCAGCATGGAAAATATCTGACTGAAATGGGTCAAGGTTTGCAGTTATGTTTGTGCAGATTTATGGAGTATAAGAAGCACTTTTATCAGTCAGTAGCTCTGCAGTGCAGCAAACTGGAAAGCTCAAGCTATTCTTCATTCATTTAGATGTTCAGGAGCAGCCAAACAGCCTTTTTCAGACAAATTTAGAACACCTATTAAAATAAAATTACACTCTCAAATACTTGGCATAAAACAGCCCTGCAGCTTTCAAGATATAATACAGAGCACATTGCTTTATGATGAAAAGAAGAAGGGGAGCAAATCAAGAAAAATGGTAGTGAATCAGCTGAGTGTTTCTGCCTTCAAAGAGATATAGAAACCCCAAATGTTCCCTAAGAAGGATTTTTTTTGCTCTTGGCAGGGACTGCATTTGTAGTGCTGTCAGGTGATTGTGTTAACAGAGCTCATCTCTCTGCGGGTCTTGACCTGCCATCAGCCCCAACACCCCCATGACCCGACTTTCTGTCCTCTTCCTGGAAGATACATCACACAGGGTTTAGTATCCTTGCCAAACAAATTATAATTAAATATTGAAGGTGATGAATGCTATTGTTTTTTTTCCTCTTGTCACTTCTGTCAAATGCAGTTATTTATTTTTCATATTATTTAAATAAAATTTTTTGCAAACATTGGTTGTAATAGCTAAATTATGGAAGCCCATTTCCGCCACATAAGATAAGCAA